AAAAATTAGGTTATTAGGTCATCGATGAAGTTGACAATTTCCAATTACTACTATTTCGAAATTTTTCTTTTTTTTGTTGATAGCTCATTTATTTTATTTTATTTTTCCATTTCATTTATATTTATTCGATTACTTAATAATTTGCATACAGTGAAGCAGTTAATTGAATAATTGTAGCAATGTGACCAGAAATTTTCTTAAAAAAAAAATAAAAAATCAATTAATTATGATAATTTTAAATATGTCCGCAAATATTTAAATAAATTTTGGAAAAAGTTTTTAGGCATAAAAAATGAGCAAATAAATTGTTAAAAAATGAAGGAAGAAAAGAGAAAATCATTTGGATGATTCAATTTTTAGAAAGAATCAACCGAAATGAGAAAAAATCAACTGAATATAATGATCAAATTTTAAATCGATCATATGGCTCGTTAAGCCGACGAAAAAAAGATCGAATTATCGGAAGTGAAGAAAGAATACATCAAAGGTATGATTGAAATTTAAAATTTATGAATGTTGCTTTATTTCATTTTATTACCTGTTAAATTAATTAATTTTAAAATATTTTCTATTTGTTTTCTTTCTTTTAAAATTTATCAAATTTCAAATATTTCTATTTGTTCTTTTTCTTCGAATTTTTTTTGAAACGATTCTGTTCGTTTTTTTCTTTTTGTCTACAAATTTATTAATTTTGAAATATTTCTATTTGTTCTTTCCCTTTTTTTTTTAAAATTAATTAAATTTAAAATATTTTTATCTGTTCGCTGAAACTGAAATTTAAAATTTATTCTATATATATGCAAATATTTTGCATGTAAAACATATAAAATTTACATAAGTAATATATGCAAAATTTATAATTATGACTTTATGACAATTTATCAGCATCTTAAATGTTGTATTTAATTTTTGGGATCAGTAATAAATTTGAAATAAATTAAAGTTATTAAAATTGCTAAAAATTAATTAATTAATATGGAAAAGTATAGGCTATATTAGATATCATTGATCAAAAATAGTTTATAATTAAATTTTTTATCAAGTTCAACGATCAACAATAATTAAGTTCCGCAGTGATGACATTTATACAAAAATTATTTCCTTTAGTTTATTTATATTTCTATTTCCATTTTCAAACTAATTTAGTTGACAGTATTACTGCTTATATTAAGCATATATTTTTATTATTAAAATGAAATGAAATCGAAAATGTTAAAATTAAAATTTAAATATTCACAAAGCAATGCAAATATACTGATAAAATTTATCACACATGCTCTTTCTTTCTCTCTCTCTCTCTCCTCTCTCTCTCCCTCCCTCCTTCCTTTTTATCTTTCGTTTATTTCATTAATACTTTTCTATTATATTTCTGATTTGAAATAAGATCACAATAAATTGCTTATCACAACAAAATTAATTTTCCATTGCTTTTAGCTATCAGAATGTTCACATTAACAATTTACTTATCACAAATAATCATATCAGTGATATTTACATTTCAAAATGATATTAATAGTTTTTTGCAGATCTCATAGTGTTGGCAACGATAATCATTTCTCAATTTGTTTGTCACCGTATAAGCAAAATCTCAGCAATATGGTATCAACTCGATACAGTAGTAATCATTCAGGTTGCAATAGTGGTAGTAACACTGGTGGTAATGGTAGTAGTAGTAGTAGTAGTGGTAATGGTAACGGTAATGGATTGTTAAATCCGTTCAAAGCAACGAAGAAATTTTTCAAAAAGTTAGTTAAATATATTTAAAAAATTTATAATATTAATATATTTGTTTTCCTCACTTCTTTTTTGCTCTTTTTTTTCTTTATAAAAATATTTTAAATTATATGAAATAGTTAGCAAGAGACAGAAAATGAATGATAAAAGAATGATTAGCTGATAAATAATGATAAATTATTTGAAAGATTATTTAGAAAATAGATTTTTTGAAAATTCAAAATTTATTATATGCAAATTGAAAATTCATTTTTTTTTGAATTTTTAATTAAATGTATAATAAAATTACATTTCCGGATTATATAATGAAATTGTCGGATTTAAATACTGATAGTATTTTCAGGATATATGATACAGCAACATTACCTAGTCGATTACATTCAAAAGTATTAGCTTCAAGTGTAATAGAACAAAACGAAATTCCAACAACATCAATATCATCATCATCAAAATATTCATTTTTTGATGCAAGTTATTCCTTGGAATTACCGGATGATGATGAGCCATCATATCAGTATGATTATGATATTATCAATTCAAGTAAGTAAGATTTTGCATCTTTTTTTTCGCTTTAAAATTAAAAAAAAATTTGAATAAAAATTTGAAAAAAGAAAATGACAAAAAAATTTGACACAAAAAAGAAATGAATTTTGCAAATAATTAAAACTTGTTGGAATTTAAATTTTAAATTCAAAATGAAATTAAAAAAAAATTTCTGATAATATATTGAAACATTAAATGTATTTTACATTTGTAAATGTTGTATAATGAAAAGAAAATGACAATTCATATTATTTATCGTTTGTCATTAGCTTTACAATTTTAAACAATTAATGAATTAATCAAATAAAAGGAAAGGGGGGTTTTTTTTTTTCTAAAACACACAAACAGTAATCTTTGATCTTAGATGTAAAATTTTTCCTGGAATTTTCAGTTCTCTCATATTCCAACTCAATTATTTCCCATCTTAATTATGTTGCTTCTTTCTTTCTTCCTTTTTTTTTTTTTATTCGTCTTATAAAACAAAATTGTTGATAATTTTAAAATTATCAGGAAGTGATAATTTTAAAAAAAATTTATAAATTAAATTATTGAAATAGAATTTTATTTTAGATACAACAAATTCCTGCATTATTGCCAATCATGATTCTAATTCTGCACCATTAATAATGAAACCAGTAAGGGTAATTGAAGATACAATGAATAATGATTCGGGTTTGTCACGATCAATAAGTTCCAATGATTCACAAAAAACATCTTCCGGTGATTTTCGTTCCTGGAATGAAGTTTTCAATCATCTCAAACGTGAAATGGTACTTGTAATTTCACATAATTAATTTAATTACGTAAACATTTTAGCTATTAAATTAAATATTATACACAGTAATCTAAATCATCTTATTAATATTAATCAATTTTTCTACAGTAATAGATATTTCTGTGGAAAAAAAAATTTATAGGGTAAAGTACTCAATATCTTAATGCAGTTTAATTATTTAAGTATTTTAGTATTCATTTATTTGTTTATTATTTGATATTTTCCTTTTTTTTTGTTTTGTATCAAGGCATTATTCATTCATTTCAGGCCTATATGCGGCAACGTGATGCGCAAATTTTTGCTGACTTACAATTTGTGGAACGTCAATTACGAAATGTGAAAAATCAGGCCATGGGAAAATGCGATCATGCAATGAGTAATAACAATAATAATAATAATATTGATGACATTAATGGCAATGATAATAATAATGATAATAATAATAATAACAATAATAATAATAATAACAATAATAATAATAATAGCATAAATATGAATAATAATAGTGATAGACATATTTTGAATAAACGACAAATTAAATTAGGCGAATTAGTTGAAAGTATGCCATTATAATAGAACAAAAATTGCTTATTTGTTTAAAAATAATATTAAAGTTTTGTGAATTGTTCCATTTTACAATTGTATTTTGTATTATTCTAGTCCTTCCATTGTTTCATAACATTCTCTCATTTATTTTGCTCAATTTCATTTAAATTTTAAACATTCTTTGGGATTATAATGAGAAAAATAAAAGAGAAATGAAAGGCATTATTAATAGCTAAACTTATAGCAAATGAAATTTAAACATCAAATTTATTTTTGATACTTTCCTCAAATTTCTCCTCTACATTGATCGTAATTCATAATAATTAGTTTGTCTCTTTCTTTTTTTCATTTTATTGATAAAATTGATTTGGATAGATAGGAATGGAAGTGATATGATTACTGATATAAAAGTGAAGAAGAAATTTAACACAAATATAATAAAAAGATTGCAAATTTTCACAAAAAAAAAAAAGTTTGGATTTTTTTTTCCAAATTATCTTTTTTCTGGCTTTTTTTCTTAACTTTCAAAAATTGAAATTTTAATTTTTAATAATTATTCGATAATCAATCATATTATTTTAATAAATTAATTGCGAAAAAAAGATGCTCTTGTTAAGGGAAAAAAAATTATTGTTTTCTTCACCAAGATGACCTTTATAATGGTCATTTGTTGACACGTTGGTCATTTGTTTAAACTATCACCTAAAGTATATGTCAAAGAATAGCTTTTATCTATCCATTTATCTATCATTCAATCAATCAATCTATCTTTCTTTCTATCTATCTATCTATCGATCTATCTATCTGTTATCTGTTACATTCAAATCAAACAACAGCTAACATCAGTCTAGTTAGTCATAGCTAAATCAATCTAATCTTAATGCAAATAAACAATTTCAATTCACTTTTAAAAATCAAATCAAATCAATCTGTCATTCATTCTCAAAAAGAAATAGTGAAAATTTTTAATTAAAAAGAAAAAAGAAATTTCAAACTAAAAATGAAAATTAAATAATGAGAGAATGTTACATTGTCAATCTATTCTGTTAACAATCCACTTAACATTGCCATCTACTTCTCTTACTATCAATATATACATTGAATTACTTTTTGCGACCAATAAATTTATAGCTAATGATGCTGCTTAATGCAACGCTAGATAGTATCCGCAATTGAACATTGACGAGAATTTTAATTATGCTATCTGAAGCTTTTCTTTACCCATAAACTGTTTGGGTAAAATACCCGATCTTAGCATAAATATGTGAAGGGATCGGGTAAAATTACTTTCCTTACATCATATAAATTTAGTACTACGATCATTGAAATATTTTGCATATTTTAAATATTAATTCATCTATTTCTTTTTTCTTTTTTGCCCGAAAAAGTTTTCGTCTTTTTTATGTATGTTTTTTTTTATTTTATTTTTAAATTTTATTGTTTTATAATTAAATAATAAATGAGAAATAAAGGGAAAATGATGAAATAAGATGAAATTTTGAAATTAATTAAAAAAAATAAATTTAAAATGGAGGAGAAATTAATTGAAGGGAATGTATAATTTATTTACAATGATATAACATATAATTAGTATAATTGTTATTTTCAAAAAGAAATATTTCATCGTTTTTATTTTTATTCCATCATTAAAATTATTCAAAAAAAAAAAAGTTACAAATAATTATAAAAAATTTTGCATTTTTTATTGTAACTTTTACTATTTCAAATATAATCGATCTTAAAATTTTCTGAAAATTTCATTTTGTAAAATTTTAAAGTTAGTAAAAATATTTCAATCAAATTAGCAATTTGTTTAAAGTATTGAAGTGATTGACTGCTTGTTCACTAAATTTATGCATTAATTTGTATGATGCTTTCTTTTTTTTTTTTTTTTTTTTTTTTGTTGTATTAAAGGATAATGATTAGCCTAGATTGTAATGTTTGAATATTTTTCATTCAATTTAATTGTTTAACTATGTAAATATTTAAATTAAAATTGCTATAAACAAAATTAATTCATGTGCCCTATTCATCAATTAATTAAAAGGCATAATGAATTAGCTAGCATCATTTTAACTTCAAATAATCATTCACTATTTAAAAGGTAAAATATTATTCATTAACTCCCATAGCACAATAATTTTAATAAACTATTGTAAGCTATTTTTTTGCTTATTTAAAGATTACATAATTCAATTTTTCCTTTTTTAATTTCAATTCTTAGATGTTTCAATTGTTCGATTTTTTTTTGATTTAAAAGAAAAAAAATAGAAAAATTTATTTTTATGTTTTAATTTGCCAATTGCACGTTTGTTATTCTGTTTCATTGTCAAAAATAACATAATAATTACCAAGAATGCATCAACTTTTGCTCAAAATTCTTTTCTTTTTTCAGAACAAAAAAAAAAAGAAGAGAGAGAGATAGACATGAAATTTTGTTTCAATTTGGTGATAAAAATATAGAAGTATAATTTAAAATTAAATTAAAAAACTTGAATATTAGGAAATTCAGGTTTTTTTTTTTTCAAAGAAAACAATTAGCAAAAGGAGCGATGCATATGCACATAAATGTAGTGCTTATTGTGAAATTAAAAGAGCTGAATTATTTAATTCAAATTCAGATTTTGAAAAGAGAAAATGAAGAAAATGCGACATGAGTTGACATAAAAGTGAGGAATGGAAATTAGTTATGATTGAATCAAATATTTTCAAGTTTTTTTTTCTAAGCATTTTTTCAAAGATCCTTTCTAGGAAAAAAAAAAGCAAAAAAGAATCTACAATATTTTTTAGGTTCTTAAAAGTTGAAATGTGTTTTAGCAAATTAATTCACATTCCCTTTAATACTAAATCTCATTATCAAAAATGATATGAATTAATATATAATTAACATAACTTACCTTTTTTTTGCCTATTCTACAATTTAAATCAATCTTATTATAGTAATTTGAATCAATTTAAGCTAAAAATTAATTTTACAAATATTTAATTGATATAATTTTTGCGTTATCACAGCATTTATGCTAATTTTATTTCAATAAAAATTAAATTCTTATCGGCTAATCAGCATAAAAAAAAATACCAGTTAATTGTCATTTATTTATAGCGTTAGAATTGCTAATCTTATTTGTCAAGCAATCATTCGTAATTATTTTGAATAGATTTTTATGATGACATTAAGCAATAAGATTGATATCAATTTATACAAATAATGTACTAGCAATCCAAAAAAGAAATACAATTAACATAAGTAAAATGAAACTGATACGATTAAGAAGAACAATATTTAAATGCTTCTTATCAGATGATATTGATGAAATTACAATATTATTATTATCTTTTTTCCTATTGTTGCTATTCTTGGCTATTTTATAATAACGTATCACTTCGGTAAGGTCATGATTTTGAATTGGTTTATAGCCGAGATCATGTTGGGCTTGTTTAATGGAATAAGTATTGGTAATTGATACTAGATTCACTTCAAGCCTGGTAAATAATGGTTCTAGACCAAAATAGCGATAGAGATATTCGAATAATATAGCCAAGTATACTACAAGTGTATACGGTATTTTGAACATAGGTAACGGTTTGTTAAATGCTGAAATTAAAATTTACATGTAAATGATAAATAAATGACGAATTTTTTTTTCTTAAAAACTTTGATATACTTTTATCACATGCAATCACTTATCAGTTTTACAGTTTTAAGAGAAAAAAAAAAGCCGATTTTAAGACCAGTTATAAATATAAATTCTAGATAGAAATCATTTCTGAATTAGTGACAAAAAAAAAAAAAAACAGTGCTAGGAAAAAATGTTTACCTCGAATAAGCGGGAACCAAAAACTGAATGATCCAACAGGTGGACCACCATCAACAATATTATATATTTTACCACATGCGACACCTCTTCTTAAAGCATCTTCAGCTAATCTCATCGCCTAAAATGTATGTTTTAATTAACAATTAATTAAGAAGAATATTTGTTGGATATGAAGAAATATCAGATGATAATGATAGTAAATAATACGGATAGATAAAAAAAAGTGGAATAACGAAAGCAAATAGATAAATATTTGAATTAATTTAATTTAAAATTCATCAAGTAATTAAAATTATAGCCTTACCCTAGTACTATTTCCAATTCCACTGTATTGCGTCATACATTCATGGAATTTATGAAAAGTTGCAAGAACTAAACCACGTTTGCATAGATCCTAAAAGAAAAAACTTTTAAAATATTAAAAAATTTGAAATCAAAAAATTTATAAGCAAATAAATAGAATTGAATAAGAATGAATCCAAAACGATGTAAATTATCATTTCGCATTATTTTAACATATGTGATGATTAAATTTAAGAAAAAAAATATTCAAATTTAATTACAATTCAAATTATATGACAAAAGAAAAAAAAAACAACAAAAACTTACCACTGTCCTTTTTACAGTTCGCGGTTCTGCAGGACCATATATTCCACGATATCGGAGAGCACAAGTTTTCAATGTATCACAATTACTATTTACTACATATTTTTCAGCTACTGCTTTAGATGCTGCATAATATGAATAATACTGCAATATTTGTAATTAATTACAAAATAATCTTTTCCAAGTATAAATAATTATAAATTAATTTCTTATCCTTAACATTTATCGTTAATTTCATTTTAACATTGAATTTAAACATTATGATAAGGAAATATGTAGTGGGGGGTTTTTTTTTCTATGAAATTTAAAATATTTATTCTTTGAAGAAAAAAAAGAGAAAGATTACCTATGAAATAACTATTTCTGCATTTTTTTTTTTTACAAATTTGTATCAAATTCAAATTGAAATCAAAATTACCTGGAATTGTTTTATAAATTGATGATTATCTTAGCTAGAAAAGTAAACATATTTGAGCAAATAATTTATGATTAATTAGTCTACAATATCGATGCATCTAACCCATATAAAGTAATTTAGAATTTAAATGAGTAAGCTTATTTTATGTTGATTTTTTTAATAAATCATTTCATGAAATTATAAAATTTTAAACTTTTACAGATTTAAATTAACTGTTAACAAGAACGATTGACCTTAGATGGATGTGGATATGGGGTTAATTCATCAGCATCTTGTAGCTCCTCATCGGTAAAAATGACAGCTACAGAACTTGCAAAAATAAACCTTTGTACACCATTGATACGACAACGCTCTAATACTTGTTTAGTGCCAGTAACATTAATTAAGTATACCATTTCTTTATCCAACTTAAATTTCATATCTATTACAAATATGAATTTCATTAGAATAAATTACAATTTAATCTAACAATTTTTTTGAAATATTTCGATGCAATAATCGTATACATATTTAAAACTTAAAATTGAAACTTTTCAATTCATCAAATTTCTATTTCAAACCAGCAAAAAATAGAAGTGCAAACTTTGAATTTTAATTGGGATAAATTAAACTAAATTACGATAAATGTTAAGGAAGAAATTTGAAATGGCATATTTTCATTTAACACCATCTACAGTATGAACACGTACACCGTAATAGTAGTATTTAATGGAAATTATACAATGAAACATTTTTTAAGATTAAAACTAAATTATATAAATTTTAATAATATCAAACGATTTATCCTTTTTTTTTCTCATCAATTTCACATAAAAAATAAAGAAGGAAATTTAACGTACAGAAGCGCCACCACTCATACCGTATGCGGCAATATGAAAACATGCAACGCAACCGTATAATGCTTGATCTAATACTTTTATATCCAATAATGAACCCTATAGAAATTACATGCAATAACGAAGATATATTTTTTTCTTATTGATTTTTAAAAAATTTTTTAAATTCAAAAATTAATCTTTGAAATTTCAAAAAATTTAAATGAACTAAAATGTTAATTTCAATTTTATACCATAATAGCATTTAGTTGAAAATTTACATTTTGTACAAATGTATATATAAAATAGAATATGCAATAGTTTGAAAATAAATTTCAAAAAATTTCAGTCCTATGAATAGAGAGTATCATTTTAATTTTCATCATCGATATTTATATATATTTATTTAATGAATTAAAAATTTCCAAAATACAAACCGTAATTCGAGTTGTGAGTGATTCGTTTAGTTTCACCATTGGTATATCACAAAAACTAATGTCTAATATTACAGTATGAAAGCCTTGTTCTTGTAATTCTTGAGCAATATGTTGTCCAAAATATCCACCACCACCAATGATACACATACGATGATATTCCATTCTTAATTAAATAATGAAAATTAGAATGATACTTGAAGATGACATACGTAAGGAAATTAAGTGGTCACGTACGTTAAACAGATGTTTTACGGTAAATAAATTGTTTTCAAATTTCTGAAGGAAAAAAAAAACACTCTTATGATAGATAGCTTATACTTTGATTGTTAGAATATGAAAGATTAAGGTATGCATGCATGTATGCATGCATGCATGCACATTTGTATTTGTATATGAAAATTAGAGAAAAAAGTGCATTGATCATTATTTACGTAAGGAAGTGGTAATACTGGATACATTAGAAGGACTAGTGTAAGTTTGAATCAAAATTTTAGATGAATCACAAAATAAATATTGAAAGATATGAGAATGATAAAATGTAGCCTACAAGTATTCCGTGAATTTGCCACGTACGCTCACACCTACGCTTACGTTTCATTTCTTTTTAATATTACTAGAATCAAGTATAACATTGATTATCAATTGTGTTACATTTTTATTTCACTCAAGAAAATTACAATTAAATTTTAATTAATTAACAATGTATGGATACAATTGAAAGCTTAGATAGTTCCATTTCAGGTACAGTAAACTAGCCAAATAAGTAACTAATCGAGTTGTCTTCTAAATTGTAATTCTTAGAAGCATTTATTAATTTATGCAAGAGGAAAAAATGTAACGAATTATTGTTTTGCTAAAATTGATTATCAGAATAAAAACTGATTATCAGAATTAAAAGAAAAAAAAATTATTTATCGATCTTTTTTTAGTTTTATGTATAATTTTAATATGAATAAGAAGAAGAAATTTATGGACCAATTTTATCCAAATAAATTAACAATTAATATTTTAGTATGTAAAATATTTTGAAAAAAAAAGAAAAAAGAAAAAATAATAATTTTAGATAAACAAATAGAAATATTTCATTTCATAATTTTGTAAAAAATGAAAAAAAAATAAAATAATAATTACATAAATAGATGAAAATTTAATTTTCTTCTACTTGAAGTATAATTTTGATCCAACAAATGACATATTAGGTGAAACATGTTCTTACCAAAGCTAAAACAGAATGAGTTAAAAAAAAAAAATAAGAAAAAAAAAGTAATGTCATCTCCTCCATGATATTTTAACATAATAATGGAAAGAGAGAGAGAGAAAGGGAGAAAAAGAGAGAGAGAAGAGTTTATTTCTTTTCTTTTTATTCTTTTAATTCACTTTTTTTTTTCTTTCTCTTCCTTCTATTTCATTTCCTATTATGATTTGCGAAATTTTTATGTATTAAATGAGCAGCGAATTTTGTCAACAAATTAATGAAAATACATTTTACTGTCAACCAAAAACAAATTATAATATGAACGATAAATTTTAGT